CGGTTCGAACCTCGGCGGATCCTCTCCAGCTATAAACCTGAATAAGACTAAGCTAAGTTCAGAAAGGAATCATTAAATTTCAAATTTCCATGCCGGTCCTACCTTTTGACATGTTTCTCGAGAGACTGATTTAATCTGTCCTTCGATACTTGAGAATGAATAACGATTAGGCTGATCTGACGAACTCGGATATTTAGTGATACGTACGTTTGCGAACAACTCGCTTGCATACGAAATTAGATAGTAAAATATTTTGGCTTAAATCCCGACACCCACACCCTGCGCTGTTCTCGTAAAAGCATTAATTCCTCATGAGTAAGGGTACGTGCGCCCACCCGATCGCGTGTTTGTTGATGTTTAAACGCTGGAATATGTCTCTTTCAAATGCCACCTCTCTGATCCTTAACGCCTGACCACACATATAGCCAGTATACTAACGATTCCGTGTGCGGCAGGTGATTACCCAACGGTACGTGAATAACTGCGAGAGCCTTATGCAAATGACAGGCCGCTTCAACCAGAGTAACGAGTGGGCACCATCGGAATGGCGGCATCGGGAGTAAAAGGAATGTTATGATATCGGTAGGATCTTGAGGTTGATGTCGTTGTGAAGAGGTGGCTCCTTTTTCTAGTCCACACGTCGATGGATAATCTCTCCGGCGTTTTATGGATAGGAAAATGGAAGTGAATGTGAGGAGGAAAAGAGTTGCAAAGAGGTGACTACTGGTTTGGTCAGCCATTTTGGATGAGACAGAAAGACGGACCGAAGAATCGAAAGAGAAATGGAAAGGAGAAAGGGGAACAGAAAATGAGAACAATATATAGAATAAAAGGAGGAAATAATTTACGAAATACGAGGTGAAGAAAAACAAGAATTAGAGGAAGAAGAAGGAGAAAAAAAAACGGAAATGAAAGTCGTGGGCTAAAGGAACAAAGGAAAAAAAAGGACATGAAAACGAGGCAATAATATTCAAAACGAGGCAATAACATTGAAATCGAAATTGTTCAGATAAAATGTGTCTAACAAAAAAAATGTTTAAGAGTTAAGAAAAGAAAGAAAATTTCAATAATTGATAAAAATCATGAACAAAAATAAATAAATAAAAAGAAAAATGAAAATGAATTGAAAGAAAAGAAGGTGCACAATGAGAAGAAAGTTTGATTTGAGAGGGGGAAGAAAACGCTATGGGATGAAGAAGGTAAAGAAAAAAAGTAAGAATGATTCAAAGACAGAAAAAAATGAAAGAAAGAAAGAAAGAAAGAAAGAAAGAAAGAAAGAAAGAAAGAAAGAGAATTATAGATAGAACAAGAAACTGTTTAAAACGAACCGGAGAAGAAAAAGAATGAAAAGCGGAAGATGGAGAAAAATAGCAAAAAAGTCTATACGAATTAAACATAGGCAATACAAAGAAAGAAAGAAAGAAAGATAGAAGAACTAAAGAAAGAATGAAGAACGAAACAAACAAAGAAAGAAGAAAGAAAGAAGGAAGAAAGAAAGAATAAAGAACGAATGAAAGCAAAAAAGACGAACGAAAGAAAAAAGAAAGAAAGATCGAATGAAAGAAAGAAAGAAAGATCGAACGAAAGAAAGAAAGAAAGAAAGAAAGAAGAAAAAAGAATGAAGACCGAAAGAAAAAAGAAGTACGAAGTAAGAAAGAAAGAAATGGAAAAATTAAATATACTTGCGCGATGAAAGAAAGTGAAAACGAAAGGGAGTGAAATGTGAAATAGACTGAAGTGATGGAAGGAATAGAAGAAGGAAAGAATGAAATCATGAAAGAAAGAAAGAAAGAAACATGAAATAATTGTGGCATGCACAGAAAGCAAGGAAACGCACTGGAAAGGCAGTAGGGCGAGCGAAATATACTTGTACGATGAAAGAAAGAAAGAAAGAAAGAAAGAAAGAAAGAAAGAAAGAAAGATAGAAAGGATAAAAAAGACATATGCGAACCCCAGAAAGAAAGAAAAAGAAGGAAAGGAAGGAAGAAAGAAAGAAAGAAAGAAAGGAAGGAAGGAAGGAAGGAAGGAAGGAAGGAAGGAAGAAAGAAAAGATAAAATACATATGCGAACCCCAGAAAGAAAGAAAGAAATATGCGAACCCCAGAAAGAAAGAAAAAAGAAGCAAAGAAAGAAAATATAAAATAGACATATGCCAACCACAGAAAGAAAGAAAGAAAGAAAGAAAAGAAAGAAAGAAAGAAAGAAAGAAAGAAAGGATAAAATAGAAATATGCGAACCCCAGAAAGAAAGAAAAAAAAAAGAAAGGATAAAATAGACATATGCGAACCAAAGAAAGAAAGAAAAAAGAAAAGAAAGGATAAAAAAGACATATGCGAACCAAAGAAAGAAAGAAAGGATAAATTAGACATATCCGAATCCCAGAAAGAAAGAAAAAAGAAGGAAAGGAAGAAGGGAAGGAAGAAAGAAAGAAGGATAAATAGACATGTGTAATCTGCAGAAAGGCAATAAACAAGAAAATACTGTCGCCTGGCGCAAATAAGGAAATAATAAGTCGAAACGAAAAGAATTATTAAAGTAAGGCAACGGATAATAAAGAAGGAAAAGAAATAAAGACGAAAGAAAAGAAAAAGAAGCGTCTTGTGTGAGGCAATGACAAAAGAAAGAAAAAAAAGAAAGAAAGAAGAAAATTATTTTTTTTCGATGAAAAGAAATAATCACAATGTAAAAGGATTTGTCTGATGAAAAGAAATGAAAAAATAATGAAAAAGAATGAAACAGAGAAAATGAAAAAAAAAATGAAAGAAAAACATGGAAAAAATATCAGCTATATGTCATGAAATGAAATGAAGAAATAAAGAAATATATGTAACATTTGTGTTCAAAATAAAGCGAAAGATGAAAATAAAGGACAAAGTAACAAGTGTGATATAAAGAAAGAATGAAAAATCGATTACGTTAAAAATAATGACGAAATTTAACGAAGGAAAAACAAAGAAAGAAGAATGAAAATTAAGGGAAGAAGGAACAAATAGCTGGATGAAAAAAAAAACAAAAGAGGGAAGAAATGGAAAAGAGGAAAGTTGGGGAAATAAATTTAAAAAAGGAAGAGAAAGAACTGGGTAAAAAAAAAGAATAAAATGGAATTTAAAAATGTAAACGAAAGCAAAATAACGTTCTCGCGAGAAAGAAAACGAGACCACGAAAAAAGAAAACATTGCAGGCCGCATAACAACAGTAAAGACCGCCATTTTTATGTGTGAGAGAAGAGTACACGAAGAAAACGAATTAGGAATAGAATCAAAAGATCAATCGATGTTGGATTGGGATTTTGGTCAGGGAAGCGGCAAAAAGCAATGGCTTGAATGGAACCTACGTGACGAGAGGGACAGGGGAGCTTGTCTGTGTTTTTCAGTGACTTGTTCACCTCGATGGACACTTGTTCGAAGAGATAAGTTCAAGAAACATTGGTAGAGAAGAAACGACAATGAAAGAATGTGCATCAGCGTTTCTTTCTATATTTGGAAGGAATACTCGGATGAAAAGGATGGATGACATAAATGGACGGATAATGGGAAGATTAAAAAGAAAAGAGAGAAATGAAATAAATCCGCCTTTTTACCCTGAGGAATAATCAAAAGAAAGGAAAAAAGAAAGTGCGAAAATAGAAAGGAAGAAAAATTTCCAAATGAGTAATAAAAATATCGAGTAAAAATGAATAAAATGAAGAAAGAAAGAATGAAAGAAAAATAAGAGAAAAAAAAAATGAAAAAAATGACCAAAGACCTAACAGAAAAATTCTGTAGAATAAATAAGAAAAAGAAAGAAAAAATGAATGAATAAGAAAAAGAAAGAAAGAATGAATGAGACTTGTGGATTGCCCAGAAAGCAAAGAAGTAAACAAGAAAAAAGTAACAAACGTTGAAAAGAAGAACGGATTAAACCATACCATTTTGCAAGCAAGCAAAAAAGAAAAGAAGGAAAGAGGGAATAAATAGCAAGAAAGAAATATACTCGTACGATGTATAGAAAAAGAAAGATAGACACATATAGAAAGATGAAATAAAATGAGGTGATGTAAAGAAAGAAGGAAAGAGAGAGAGAGATGAAGTAAACTTGTGCCATAAACAGAAAATAAGTAAACAAAAAGAAAAAGAAAGATACAAGGAAAAATTCAGAAAAATATGCAGAAGAAAGAAAGAAAGAAAGAAAGAGATGAGTTATACAGAGAAAGTAAGCAAAAAAAAAAAAAAGAAAGAGAGAGAGAGAGAGAGATGAAGTAAACTTATGCCATACCCAGAAAGTAAGCAAATAAAAAGAAAGACAGAAAGAAAGAAAGAGAGAGAGAGAGAGAGAAAGAGATGAAGTAAACTTGTGCCATACCCAGAAAGTAAGCAAATAAAAAGAAAGACAGAAAGAAAGAAAGAGAGAGAGAGAGAGAGAATGTGAGATGAAGTAAACAAATGCCATACCAGAAAGGAAGCAAATAAAAGAAAGAATGTAAACTTGTGCTAGAAAAGAAAGAAAGAAAGAAAGAAAGACAGACAGAGGGAGAGAGGGAGAAAGAGAGATGAAGTAAACTTGTGCTATACCCAGAAAATAAGCAAATAAAAAGAAAGAATGTAAGAAAGAAAGAAAGAAAGAGAGAGAGAGAGAGAGAAAGAGAGAGAGAGAGAAATGAAGTAAACTTGTGCCATACCCAGAAAGTATGCAAAAAAGAAAGAAAGAAAGAAAGACAGAGAGGGAGAGAGGGAGAAAGAGAGATGAAGTAAACTTGTGCCATACCCAGAAAATAAGCAAATAAAAAGAAAGAATGTAAGAAAGAAAGAAAGAGAGAGAGAGAGAGAGAGAGAGAAAGAGAGAGAGAGAAATGAAGTAAAACTTGTGCTTACCCAGAAAAGTATGCAAAAAAAAGAAAGAAAGAAAAGAAAGAAAGAAAGACAGAGAGGGAGAGGGAGAAAGAGAGATGAAGTAAATCGTGCCATACCCAGAAAGTAAGCAAATAAAAAGAAAGAAAGAAAGAAAGAAAGAGAGAGAGAGAGAGAGAGAAAGAGAGAGAGAGAGAAATGAAGTAAACTTGTGCCATACCCAGAAAGTATGCAAAAAAAGAAAGAAAGAAAGAAAGACAGAGAGGGAGAGAGGGAGAAAGAGGATGAAGTAAACCCAGCTATACCCAGAAAATAAGCAAATAAAAAGAAAGAATGTAAGAAAGAAAGAAAGAAAGAAAAGAGAGAGAGAGAGAGAGAGAGAGAGAGAGAGAGAAATGAAGTAAACTTGTGCCATACCCAGAAAGTATGCAAAAAAAAAAAAAGAAAAAGAAAGAAAGACAGAGAGGGAGAGAGGGAGAAAGAGAGATGAAGTAAACTTAAAAGATACCCAGAAAAATAAGCAAATAAAAGAAAAGAATGTAAGAAAAATAGTAAAGAAAAGAAAGAAAGAGAGAGAGAGAGAGAAAGAAAGAGAGAGAGAGAGAAGAAAGTAAACTTGTGAAGCATACCCAGAAAAAAGCAAAAAAAAGAAAGAAAGAAAGAGAGAGGGAGAGAGGGAGAAAGAGAGATGAAGTAAACTTATGCCATACACAGAAAGTAAGCAAAATAAAAAAAGAAAAAGAAAGAAAGAAAGAAAGAGAGGGAGAGAGAGAGAGAGAGAGAAATGAAGTAAACTTGTGCCATACCCAGAAAGTAAGCAAATAAAAAGAAAGAAAGAAAGAAAGACAGAGAGGGAGAGAGGGAGAAAGAGAGATGAAGTAAACTTGTGCCATACCCAGAAAATAAGCAAATAAAAAGAAAGAATGTAAGAAAGAAAGAAAGAAAGAAAGAGAAAGAGAGAGAAGAAATCCTGAAATATACCCAGAAAGTATGAAAAGAGAGAGAGAGAAAAGACAGAGAAAGAGAGGGAGTAGAAACTTGTGCCATACCCAGAAAATATGCAAATAAAAAAGAAAGAAAGAAAGAAAGAAAGAGAGGGAGAGAGAGGGAGAAAGAGATGAAGAGAAAAGCAAATCTCTATGCCATACCCAGAAAGTAAGGCAAATAAAAAGAAAGAAAGAAAGAAAGACAGAGAAAGAAAGAGATGAGAGAGAAAGAGAAATAAAAAAAAGAGAAAGAAAAGAAAGAGAGAGAGAAATGAGAAAAGAGATGAAGGAAATACCCAGAAAGTATGCAAAAAAAAAGAAAGAAAGAAAGAAAAGACAGAGAGGAGAGAGATGAAGCAAACTTAGCTATACAATTCAGAAAGAAGAAATTAAAAAGAAAGAAGAAAGAAAGAAAAGACAGAGCCATAGAGAGGGAGAAAGAGAAAAAAAATCTTAAAGAAAGAAAAATAGCAAATAAAAAGAGAGAAAGAAAAAGAAAGACAGAGAGGAGAGAGAGGGAGAAATGAAGTGAAACTTGTGCCATACCCAGAAAATAAGCAAATAAAAAGAAAGAATGTAAGAAAGAAAGAACAGAAAGAAAGAGAGAGAGAGAGAGATGAGAGAGAAACTTTCTGAGAGAAATGAAGAAAACTAAGCCATACCCAAAAGAAAGAAAAAAAAGAAGAAAGAAAGGGAGAGAGAGGAGAAAGAGAGATGAAGTAAACTTGTGCCATACCCAGAAAAATAAGCAAATAAAAAGAAAGAAATGTAAGAAAGAAAGAAAGAAAGAAAGAGAAAGAGAGAGAGAGAAAAGAGAGAGAGAGAAATGAAGCAAACCCAGAAAATAAGCCATACCCAATAAAAATGCAAAAATGAAAGAAAGAAAGAAAGAAAGACAGAGAGGGAGAGAGGAGAAAGAGATGAAGTAAACTCATTGCTTGAGAAAATAAGCAAATAAAAAGAAAAATGTAATAAAGAAAGAAAGAAAGAAAAAGAAAGAGAGAGAGAAAGAGAAATGAGGTAAAATAAAAAAGAAAAACTTGCCATTCCAGAAAATAAGCAAAAAAAAAAGAAAGAAATGAAAGAAAGAGAGGACAGAAAGAGAGAGAGAGAGAGAAGAGAGAGAGAGAAAATGAAGTAAAACTTGTATAAGAGGAGAAAATAAGCAAATAAAAAGAAAAGAATGAAAGAAAAGAAAGAAAAAAGAAAGAGAGAAAGGGAGAGAAAGAGAGAGAGAGAAAACAAAGTAAACTTTGAAGGATACCCAGAAAAAATAAGCAAATAAAAAGAAAGAAAGAAAGAAAGAAAGAGAGGGGAGAGAGGAGAAAGAGAGATGAAGTAAAACTGGCCATACCCAGAAAATAAGCAAAAAAAAGAAAGAAAGAAAGAAGAGAAAGAAAGAAAGAAAAAGCAAATTTCTGAAGAAAGAAAGAGAGAGAGAGAGAGAAAGAGAGAGAGAAATGAAGTAAAAACTGTGCCATACCCAGAAAATATGCAAAAAAAAAAGAAAGAAAGAAAGACAGAGAGGGAAAGAGGGGAGAAAGAGAAATGAAGTAAACCTGTGCCAGAGCATAAAAAAAGAAAAAAGAAGCAAATAAAAAGAAAGAAATGTAAGAAAGAAAGAAAAGAAAGAAAGAGAGAGAGAGAGAGAGAGAGAGAGAGAGAGAGAAATGAAGTAAACTTACATACCCAGAAAGTATGCAAAAAGAAAGAGAAAGAAAGAAAGAGAGGAGAGGGGAGAGAGGGAGAAAGAGAGATGAAGTAAACTTATGCCATACCCAGAAAAAATAAGCAAATAAAAAAGAAAGAAAGAAAGAAAGAAAGAGAGAGAGAGAGAGAGAGAGAGAGAGAGAGAGAAATGAAGTAAACTTGTGCCATACCCAGAAAGTATGCAAAAAAGAAAGAAAGAAAGAAAGAAAGACAGAGAGGGAGAGAGGGAGAAAGAGAGATGAAGTAAACTTGTGCCATACCCAGAAAATAAGCAAATAAAAAGAAAGAATGTAAGAAAGAAAGAAAGAAAGAAAGAGAGAGAGAGAGAGAAAGAGAGAGAGAGAAATGAAGTAAACTTGTGCCATACCCAGAAAGTATGCAAAAAAGAAAGAAAGAAAGAAAGAAAGACAGAGAGGGAGAGAGGGAGAAAGAGAGATGAAGTAAACTTGTGCCATACCCAGAAAATAAGCAAAATAAAAAGAAAGAAAGTAACAAAAGAAAGAAAGAAAAGAAAAGCGAGAGAGAGAGAGAGAGAGAGAGAGAGAAACTGAAGTAAAAATAACGATGTAACTATCAACCCAGAAAGTATGCAAAAAAAAAAGAAAGAAAGAAAGAAAGACAAAAGGAGAAGATTTCAGAGAGGGGAGATTTACTCCAATGAAGGCGAACTTCTGCCATAAACCAGAAAAATAAGCAAATAAAAAGAAAAAAGAATGTAAGAAAGAAAGAAAAAATCAAAGAAAGATTCAGAGAGAGAAAGAGAGAGAGGGAGTCCTGAAGTAAACTTGGTAACATCACCCAGAAAGTGTTCAAAAAAAAGAAAGAAAGAAAGAAAGACAGAGAGGGAGAGAGGGAGAATAGAGTTTAAGTAAAAATTCTCTTATACCCAGATAGGGAAATAAAAAGAAAGAATGTAAGAAAGGATAGAAAGAAAGGCAGAAAGAGAGAGAGAGAAGAGAGAGAGAGATAAGAAATGAAGTAAACTTGTGATATATGTAAGAAAGTGATGCAAAAAGAAAGAAAGAAAGAAAGACAAGGGAGGGAGAGAGGGAGAAAGAGAGATGAAGTAAACAAGTGCTTTTGTCAAAAAATAAGTAAATAAAAAAACAAAGAAATGAAAGAAAGAAAGAAATGTAGAAAGAAATTCCAGAGAGAGAGAGAGAGAGAGAAAATGAAAATGAATTTGAAAATTTCATTTTAATCAGAAAGTATGCAAAAAAAAAAGAAATTTAAAGAAAGAAAGAAAGAAAATACAGAGAGGGAGAGAGGGAGAAAGAGAGATGAAGTAAACTTTTGCCATATTTAAGAAAAATAAAAAGAAAGCAGCTAAAATGAAAGAAAATAAGAAAGAAAATTAGGTTTTAAAAAAAGAAAGAAAAATAAAGAAAGAAAGACAGAGAGAGAGAGAAATTAAGAGTAAAATTAAATTTAAAATAATCAGAAAATAAAAATAAAAAAGAAAGAAAGAAAGAAAGAAAGAAAGAAGAAAGAAAGAGAGAGAAAGAAAGAGAGAGAAAGATTTGAGAAATTGACGTAAATAAGTTCCGAAAAGAAAGTATGGGTTTCTCTTAAAGAAAGAAAGAAAGAGAGAGAGAGAGAAAGAGAGGGAGAAAGAGAATTAAAATAAAATTATTGTTTGCCATACCAGAAAGTATGCAAAAAAAGAAAGAAAGAAAGAAAGACAGAGAGGGAGAGAGGGAGAAAGAGAGATGAAGTAAACTTGTGTGTTACCCAGAAAAAAAAAGCAAGCAAAAATTTAAGAATGTAAGAAAAAAGAAAGAAAGAGAGAGAGAGAGAGGAAAGAAAGAGAGAGAGAGAGAGAGAGAGAGAGAGAGATAGATGAAGTAAACTTGTGCCATACCTAGAAAGTAAACAAAGTGAGAAAGAAAGAAAGATGTACGGAAAATTACAGAAAAACATGCAGCAGATAGAAAGAAAGAAAGAAAGAAAGAAAGAAAGAAATAAAGAAATAAAGAAAGAAATGAAGATTGAAAGAAAGAAAGAAAGAAATAAAGAAATAAATAAATAAAGAAAGAAAGAAAGACAAATGACCAAAAGCCCAATCGAAATACCGAGTAAAAGTAAATGACATACAGACAGAATGATCGAATAAATACTGAAAGATCAAATAGACTTGTGTCATGCCCAGAAATCATAGAAGTGAACAAGAAAGAAAGAAGGAAAGAAAGAAAGAGAAAGAAAGAGAAAGAAAGAAAGATGAAGTAAAAAGGAAAGTACGAAAAAAAGTAAAAAAGAAAAATGAAATATAATTGTGTGATGCGAAGAGAAACTTATATGGAAAGATGAAATATACTCCTGCGATGTAAAGAAAGATGAAGGAAAATTACAGAAGAAATATGCAGAAGAAGAAAACAGAAAGAAAAGGGAAAGGAAGAAAAATACCAAAAGAGAAAAAGCAATATAGACTACCAATGAATAAGATAATGAAAGAAAGAAAGAAAAAGAGATAGAGAGAAAGAAAGAATGAAAGAAAGAAAGAATGAAATAAATACAGAATAGAAGATGTGTGAAATTATGCCGAAGGAAAAAAGAAAGAGGAAATAGACATGTTCGATGTCCAAGAAAGAAAGAAAGAAAGAAAGAAAGAAATAAAGAAAGGACGAATGAATGAATTATTCCATAGAGAGCAAAATCAATATAGAGCAGGACTAATTAACAGAAATGATGAGAGGTAGAAAGAAGAAAGAAAGAAAGAAAGAATGTAAGAAAGACAGACAGACAGACAGACAGAAAGAAAGAAAGAAAGAAAGAAAGAACGTATGAATGATTCCATAGAGATCAAAATCAATATAGAGCAGGACTAAATAACAGAAATGAACAAACAGATGAAGAAAGAAAGAAAGAAAGAAAGAAAGAAAGAAAGACAGTAGGAAATACCATCGCTCAGTGGTTTCCATGTTGAGATTGTTGCATATCTTTCAGTGCACATATTTCGTTATGTCTGTGGGTATATTCAAAGAAATAGTTTTATTATCATTGATTTATCTAATTTGGTTTCTGGTGGATTCTCATTTCTTTCCGGGTCCTGAGAAGGGACCTAAGTTCAGAAATGGCATCATGGCTTTTTCCACTAAGCAGTTTTGAAAAAATAAATCACGCATATTTTACATAGATAAAGCCCTTCGCTAGGTGTCGGCTGTACTTTTGAGGACAATTTTTTGTATTTTAAGGCATGGGCTACCTTATTATTATTATTATTATTATTATTATTATTATTATTATTATTATTATTTTCTTTGATTTCTGGTGTGTACTCATTTCTTTCCGAAAACTAAGTTTAGAAATGGCATCATGACATTTTCCAGTGAACATAAAAAACAACACATATTTTACATAGATAAAGCCCTTCGTAAGGTGTGGACTGTACTCCTGAAAACATTTTTTTGTATTTCTTTAAGTCATGGGCTACCAGGGTTCCCTTCAATTTGTCTATTGGGATCTTTTGCAGCCAATCCTAGAGCACCAACTACAAGAGAAATTGCTGATGTTCATACGTGCCATATTTTGAGATTTCACTTTCAAGGTCCTTTTATTTTGATAGCTTTTTGAAGATCTTCAAAGATACATTACTGAATATCTTTGTATGAGCGTAAGAGAAGGCAATGTGTTGTTTATGAGGTTATGTAGAAAGGGTGAGTATTCACTTTAGATTTGAATCGGTTAAGATTGTCGGGATCTGGAAAATATACTGCTAGTTGTCTGTTCTACAAAGCAGTTGTTACAGTGCAACTTGCTCCTTACTAATGTCCTTGTCCACGTGTTCAAGTTGAAAGACTATTGGAACCAGGAAATGTATCTCGTACCCTAGATATTCAAGGACGTAGGTATTTGAAAATGCAAAAAGGAGTGAAAAATAAATTACTTGTGCTCACTGAATAGAAAGATAAAAGGAATATATATATATATATATATATATATATATATATATATATATATATATATATATATGTGTGTGTGTGTGTGTGTGTGTGTGTGTGTGTGTGTATTTAGGCATTAATCATTCTTTCATGCACATTTATTGCTTCACTATGCTTTTATTTATTTTTTTTAATACAATTTCTCATGGATCTATTTTTTTTTCTTTTTCGGATGATAAATTATATAAAATTGTCCGAAAATAAAAACATTATTAGATCGCATAAGAAATTGTATAAAAAATAAATAAAAACACAACTTCAATGAAATGTATATATATATATATATATATATATATATATATATATATATATATATATATATATATATATATCAGTTCTTATCTCAAATAACAACTTAAAAGAGACTGTTTGACCAACACAAGGATCGTTAAAAGATTCATGTTAAAAAGATAAAAAAATAAAAAAACATGAAAACTACAGACAAAAGTTCATTTTCTCCATCAAGACATTCATTTCTGTAGTTCACTCTACCAGCAAGCAGAAATATTTCTCCTCACGATGATGGCCATGTTAGCTGAAACTAGTCGAGAAATCTAAATGAAATAATAATAAAAAAAAAACGAAAGAATATTAATCTACAACCCAGTGTGTCTGAAGATTTTAATTTTTAATATTTTTATTGTTCAATATATATATATATATATATATATATATATATATATATATATATATATATATATAGTGATACCAGGTAGTTGACCTGCTAAGTTGTTTTCTCCTTTTGAAAAACTGTAATGAAAAAGATAATCACCTACCTCAAAAAGAGTTCGTGTTTTGTGCGCGATCGGCCGAAGAAAAATTACTAAAATTAGTTAGAAAAAATCTACTACTTATAAGTATAAGAATCTATGCTATTGTTCTTTCCTCCCTTGAATAGTGTGGCCAATAAGAAAAATCGTTCGGTAAATAAAAGCCGTTGTTTTTCGCTTACGGAATGATTGTTTTTTTGAGTCTGCTGGACGAACACGCGTTTTTGCTGGTGAGAAGTGAAGGTTGGATTTGTGACCCCATTTTGTCGTTTCTACGTTGCCTGTTAGACTGTTACGACGGACTATGGTTTGAACTGCGATTTGACTACAAGTGTTGCGGTCGAGAGACAGAAGTAACTTATTGCAGGCGTTTATTGCTACTATAGTTTACAGTTTGTTTTTCTTCTCTTTTCTTTTCTTTACTACAGCAAAACCATTCTCAAGGCCCGAATAACAACAGGTAATATTATTACCTTGAGATGCCACGTTCGACTGATTACTCTCTCGAGGCTCCTGTATTTACTTAGTTTCTCAAACGTTTTCAAAGATCTGTTTTTGTCGGCTGAGGCCATAACTTCTATAGGAAGACGGCTGTTATCGACATGTCTTCTCATAATGTCATAATGATGCCTACTCGATTTATTATTATTATTATTATTATTATTATTATTATTATTATTATTATTGCAGTAGAATCCAACATATCCGGAATCCCTCATATCCGGAGTGCCTCATAACCAGATCCTGCATATCCAGAAATGATTTTGATGTGCATATTTGAACTATTTGAATGATATGTTACTGATTTGAAATTTCTGTTTTTCAGGAAATTTACTTTGGATAATTCCATATGCGTATTTCACCCTAATGGCTTGTATTGGTGCAAAAGATGATGGGAATGAGAGGAAAAGAATAACTTTGGAAAAATGAACATTTTAAACAGACTAAACGCTGGTTAAAGTTCATTGTGACTAATGGCTGAGTTCAACATAGGAAAGTCAACATTGTATGGTATAAAATCTTCCAAAGCAACTATTCTCCAGCGTTCACGCTGTCACTATAAACAAGGAAATAAATAAAAAATATAGCTGTGATGAAATCTGTACTGACACTGAAAAAGCTATTGAAAAGGTTGTCAGTTTTATGGAAAGAAAGCCAGCATTCAGCTATGGTGATTGCAATAATGCACGCAGAGTTAAAAAGTGTATTTCGTTAAAAAAAAAAATGGAATAACAAAATCAGAAAGAAATTCGGAAAAAGTTGAGAATGACATTAGAAAAGAAAGAATCATCATGCAACAGCGATTAATAAATCCTCGTTACATTATTTGTTTTGCATTTGTGGCATACTTAGTTTAATGAATGTTCATTAACATTGTATAATTTGTTTCTTTTTTCTTAAAATCAATTCCGTTAGATTTCATTCACCATTAGCTTATTTTGTTTACTATAAAACATTGAAAATAAATGTAAAACCTGAGTTCACTTCTATTATTTTCATCTAAATATGACCCCACATATCCGGACTTTGTAAGCAATTCCACATATCCGTAAGCCCTTCTTAGTCCGGTTGTCCGGTATTCCACTGTGTTATTATTATTATTATTATTGTTGTTGTTGTTGTTGTACTGGTGCCATCAAAATGATGACAATTGTTAGAAATCTGTAAGAGTGAGATGCACTGAAACAAATGTCTTCAAACAATGTATTCATACGCAATAAAGTGGAGATAAAGAATTGAGAGCTAAAATAGAAGCCAATGAAACGTTTAATTAATCGGTTCCATTTATAAACTTTAGACGTTCAATGGTATCTAGGGTTCATTGATTTCTCCTCGTATTATATACTACGATTTTTGCTCAATGTCTTTTCGTATTAAAAGTTGTATGTGTTTAATATGACAGTGAAATGGAAATATCTCTCGGAAGAAAAGATTAGCAACAGAACGGCAAAGACGATGAGAACAAAGCGTATTTCATGAAGCAAGACGATTACTTAATAGAAAAATGTATCTGAGTACCTCACATGAAATGCTTGAACAAATAAAGCTACAATCTAAGAAACGTAGAAGTAAAAAAAAAAAGATTAATTAAACAGTTCATTTTGTTCGGGAATTATTTTTTTCTAAGTTCAGGTAAATCTTTTATTTGCGTAGATTTTTAAAACTCATAAATTTACAGATGGGAGAAAAACTATATAAATAAATAAACTTTGGTTATTATCTAGTTTTATTATTATTATTAATAATATTATTAATATTATTATTATTATTATTGTTGTTGTTGTTGCTATTACTTATTGAGTATTGAATATAATTGAATTTATTGAATAGTTGTTTAGTTGTTTTGAAGCCTAGAATTGTCGTTACATTAAAAACTCAACTGCATGTAGTTCAGGCTAATGAGCACTTGATAGAAAAGAGCCTCACAAATTGCTTTAAATCAAACTAAATTCCTTTCGTCAACAATTTCAATGTATCTCTGTAATACACATAACACTATCCAGTGAGTTTTTTTGACAAATAAATCCAGAAGATATGACATATTTTACATAGATAAAGCCCTTGGTGAATTTTTTGTATTTCTTTAAGGCTTGGGCTACCCGAGTGCCTTCAATGAGGCTCCCGGAACCTTTTTCAATCAATACGAGGGCTCCAAGTACAACTGGAAGTATTGATGTCTTTATGAGCCACATTTTTGAGATTTTGATCTCAAGGTCCTTGAATTTTGATAGTTTTTGAAGATCTCCAAGAAAGACATTTGGGTCACTAACACACAAAAAAGAAAATGTCTCATATCGAGAATATTTAACATCGAAAAACAAAAGAAAAAAATTAATTATTTTTAATAATATGTGGAAATATCCACCCTTTACCTGATGAGAGGTCGCGAGACCGGAAATCCGTGTAACAAAATTATAGAAAATAAACCTTAATATTTAAAAAAAAAAAACAAACATTACAACCAAAAACGTTTGCGGTTTCTCTCTTCTTTTTAATATACACACTTTTCGCACGTTGAAACTACTATAACTTCTTCCTTTTATGCATATATATATATATATATATATATATATATATATATATATATATTATTATTTTACCCTATGCAAGGCGCAGGGGTTAACAGAGAGTGAAGATGGGAGAAAAGACTAGGTAATGTCAACCGAGGAAAGGATAAAATCTCAACGGGTTTCAAGAAGATAGAAAATGGCGATTGGCGTTACAGCTGAATTTTTGAAGATTATAGTAATTACGGAAGGAAGGAAACGGAAGTGAGTTCCACTTCACTTATTGTTACTTTGGCACACCCTGTATACAAGTTGTAACAGCAAAATTGTCTAAATGATGTAACAGCCAAACTTTCCAATTATTAGATTAAACTTTAGACTGTTCTATCTTAGAAATGATTAAAGATATCTTACTGGCATTCTCCGAAGTTCTTATAACACTATTGGATTCTACTTTGAACAATAAGAATATATTTAGCCCTAAGCTGAAATTATGATACTTCTTCTTGTTGTGATTATTAAGGAACAAAAACCAATATTGTTTATCGTTCAAAAAACATCCGCAAAACTTTGACTCTTTTCGAATCAAATATTTTTGAGAGAACGTATCTTGCTTTTTTTTTTGTATGTGTGTGTGTGTTTCGATTATCTTGAATCCGATTTTACAATTAGGTTTTCCTAATTTGTGCAGTCGAGTTTGTTCTGAAATTCACTCTCACTTGCATTATTTCGTACAAGCAAAATTACGTATCATTTTATTTAGCATTAGGACTCGATAAAAGAAGAATGGTAACAATTCTTGGTCAGTCTGCCCAGTTATGACTTCCTCTTTCGTGACTCAGTAATAAAAAACACACCTGACTTGAATGTTTTCCACAATGTATGGCCTATATTAACAGTTTTGATTGCCCGGACAACTATAATTCTGTTTCTCTACTCGAACAGGTTTACTTACCAAACAGCTTTTATCATTATAGGAAACAAATTTATATAAACTGTTGACAGCCCAGAATGGTACTAAAGAGTGCTGTTTCCTATGCTTTGATAGAACCATTACTCTCTCTCTCTCTCTCTCTCTCTCTCTCTCTCTCTCTGCTATGGTTAAGCGATCTCTCATTCTCTATCCCTCTCTCTATATATCTTTCTGCCTTTCCAATTCTGTTCAAAGTCTTTGATGAATCAGTAGTCATGAGGACAAGTGTAACTAATTTTCACCAACCATTTTTTGTCACATACATATAACTATTTAATTAAAACCATTACGGTAATCTGAGCAAAAGAAAAGTGTCAGCTACTTGTAATGGATCCCTCAAAGTGCCAACCGCTTCTAATGGACCCCACAAAACCAACTTTCAATCGATCTAACTCGCTTTATGTCTGGTCAGATCCAAGTAGTAACGAAAGATGGCTAATAAACTTGCTTCCTTTATTTCCGGTGGCAACCGCCATTGAATGCACTTATATTATCCCGACATGCCTTTCGTAATGTAAAATCATTTTCCCTCTTTTCAGCATTTCCGGTTTGTTTGCCTTTCTCCATATTTTTTTTTTATTTCTCAATGTCTTCCTTTCTTTGTTTTTTTTTAATCTTCTGTATATTTATTCACGTTTTTTTTTTATTTCTTTCAATTTCCGACAGTTATTTCATTTCGTTTTTACTTGCGATTAATTCATCTTTTTGTTTTCATCGGCTTTTTTTTTATAACAATGACTATCTCATCATAATTATTTGAAAGAATGCTCTCAAACTTCCATCATCATGGCTGATGCTCACCTCCAGGAAAGTCACTAATTGCGCCATCCCAGGCTAACATTCTAAGCTGATATAAAGTGGAAAGAGTATATTGAATCCATTGCTAAGTCAGCTGCTAAGAAAGATGGTTTACGGTGTCGTGCGAGACGATTTTTCTCCCTAGAGTCTGTCTTACATATCTGTAAGTCTACCATTTTTCCACGCTTAGATTATTGTTTTCACATATGGTCCGGTGCTCCTGATGTTTACCTTGAGGTCCTTGATAAGATCCAAAGAATAATCAGCAATATTATTGGTCCTCATCTGACGGCTCGGCTTCAATCACTTGCTCACCACCATAAGGTTTCCCCTCTTTCCTTTTTCTTTATTTTGTAAATATTTTCATGGTTATTTTTCGGGTGAGCTCTTCGTGGTGGTACCTAGATTGTATGAATTTAATCGCAATACTAGCCTGTCTTCGAGATGTCATCAATTTAAAGGTGAGCTAGCTAGATATCGCTGTAAATTCTATGCTAACAATGTATTTTCTAGCATTTCTCACTTGATGTAGGTGCTGTCACAGGGTGGGATCCTCGGAACCAGGCATTTATTTGTTTTGTTCTATCCGAACACAGAATCGCAATCGAGATATAAAATGCGGATTGTCCGCCCGAATGCAGATAGTGGACCATTGTAAAGGGATGTGGCACGTGGCTGATCTAAGACCAAACCTTGACCGGTCTCCATAACCAATAAAATATAGTTTGTCGGTTCGAATGTCGATACAACACTAGGTATTTACTCTGTATGGCATAGATAGATAGATAGATAGATAGATAGATAGATAGATAGATAGATAGATAGAATATTGGACTTTGATAGCAGACAATTGTAAGTGGATGTGGCACATGGCTTATCTAAGACCAAACATTGCCCGGTCTCCGCAAGCAATAAAATATAGTTTGTCGGTCCGAATGTCGATACAACACTAGATATTTACTCTGTATGGCATAGATAGATAGATAGATAGATAGATAGATAGATAGATAGATAGATAGATAGAATATTGGACTTTGATAGCAGACCATTGTAAGTGGATGTGGCACATGGCTTATCTAAGACCAAACATTGCCCGGTCTCCGCAAGCAATAAAATATAGTTAGTCGGTCCGAATGTCGATACAACACTAGGTATTTACTCGTCCCCGACCCCACGGTGACGGGATATGAAATAAGGCCGGTTTAATGAAGGGATCCCATGCACGTGCACATGGACGAGGGCCAAATATTACCCAGGCCCCGCAACCAGTAAAATATAGTTTGCCCGCCAGAAGGCAGATAGTAAACTTTGAACGCATCCCGATGGCCAGAGAGTGGGGAATGTCCTAACTCTAGTAACAGGGGATGTCTGGTTAATGAACGCTTAAAGCTTCCTCATTAGATAAACAACTATGGCCGCATTATAATTACCATTACCTTTATCAACTATTTTTGTTTGTTTGTTGTTAAAGTCGTGTTTTTAGGTATGAATTACGTTACCTTCTTATTTGTCGAGCGTCGCGTCCACAGATGTCGATGTGTTTCATGTCGGGTTTCATTCATTAAAAAAAACGTATAATTTAAAGACAAGACGTTATAAACTGAAGAAAACATACTTGAGAAACAGGACAGGACACCAATCGAGCTTATATTTTTATATATCATTTGCAGATGAAAAGTGTTTATTAACGCATCCATATCTAATTTAAATAATGACTCCAAATCCCCAACCAAAACGATGAACAGCAGGGCTACCTAAAACAGATTTTGATGGGAGCATCAAAGTGCTCAAAATCCTTGATCCTCCTCTACGAATTATCAAGTGATATGGTTGTCTCAGTCATATATGCACAAATCTTTGCATATTTGCTGCTTATGCATCTCCATATATTTGCTTGCGTATTTGCAAGAACTCATTTGTAAGTAGGCCAGTTCCTTTGCGCCTGTACGTTTAGCTATTCATTCGCGAGTGTTCTGTAGTTGTTTTCTGTTTCACCCATGGAAAGGCTTTTAACAATATGGAAGCACAAAGGGAGAGAGAAAGGCTTAGGATGCACTTAGTGCTGTAAATACGACGACGGGCGAAAGAGGATTGGCAATAGATGGCTCTTAAAAGAGACGGGTACGGGACTAAGCGTCTCGGATCAAAAGAATGTTTGGAAAGATAGATATAGACGCACAAGAACGTCAGAAAGAAATAAAGGCAAATTCACACAGAGAGATACGTACATAGATAGATAGATAGATAGATAGATAGATAGATAGATAGATAGATAGATAGATAGGGACAAACTGAGATAGATAGATAGATAGATAGAAACTGAGACAGATATGAACAGGCTGAGGTACATAGATATAAACAGGCTGATATAGATAGATAGATAGATATAGATAGATAGATAGGGACAAACTGAGATAGACAGATATAAACAGGCTGAGGTAGGTAGATATAAACATGCTAATATAGATAGATAGATAGAGAGACAGATAGATAGATATAAACGGACTGAGATAGATAGAGTGATAGATAGATATAATCTGAGGAAAAAATAGAAATCGATTGCACCCGCTCATTTCAATGGGTCTAAAACCGACCTAATAATGAAAGAAAGGAAACTAAAACGAAAGGAAACTTATTTGCGCAAGGGTGTACAATGTAAATTTTGCATTGTTGTGAGTATGGCAATAAAAATGAGGACGACTGTCTGGACAATGTAAATAATGTAACATCGAGGTAGTTACCATAAAGATGAGCCCAAAGTGCGAATTCTAATTCGGAAATACCAAAACAAGAACGAAAAATTAAATATCTAGTGTTTTATTGGAGGACAAAATGTGTGACACTAAAATCCGAAGACGCATTCGGGATAGCCATTGATGCATTCCAAAAAAAGTATTAAGAAATAGAAAAACTTGAAACCAGGCAAAGTGTACTAAACAGTTACGTGATATCTCTCTTCCTATTTAGCAGTGAGTACTGGACAAACTCCTC